AGGGGAAGGGACAGGGGCAGCGGCAGGGGCAGGGGAAGGGGAAGGGGCAGGGGCAGGGGCAGGGGCAGGGGCAGGGGCAGGGGCAGGGGCAGGGGCAGGGGAAGGGGCAGGGGCGGAAGTTTCTAAGATGCTGGACCTGGATAGCTTCCAAGACAAACGTGACAACCTGAGCCTCCTCGATGGCTGCTCGGCCTCCCATCGCATGCTGGAGTTGGAGGGTCAGGACAAGAAGCGGCAAGAAGGAGGTCATCACCAAACATCGGACGAGCAACCAGAAGACCCGAGACTGGTGCTCCTCGTCCCTCGTCTTAGTGTAGCTCTCGCTGGCAAACAGCTCTGACAGAGATCTCGTGACCGCATACAAGTTGCTTCGCTTCCCTTCGTACCGACTCATCTGTGAATGTGATGTGATCAGTACAAACCCCAGCACTCCCCTCCCCCTTCCCCTCCCTCTACTCCTCTTTCTCTGCCTGTCTGCCTGTTGGTCTCCTTCCTGCCCTCCACTTTCTCTCTCTCTCCTCCCACCCACTCGCTCCTGACTCTCACTCTCTCGCTTACCTCAAGATAGTCTGTGCTCAAGACCATGAGCAAGATTCGTTCTTTACAACCTCTCTGCAGCGAGACTCGATTGATCATGAGCTCTCGGAACAGCAGGTCTCGCACTCGCTCGTCCTCGAAGCACATCGGAGCCACCAGGTCAACAACGAGTGAGTTCACCCTGCCCTCTCCGAGCGTCGGCCTTTCTCCGACCAGGTCGCTGGGAGCGGAAGAGATGAGGTGGTGCAGGAAGGTGTCGAGGTGACGAGATTTGAGGTTGCCCAGGATGTTTCGAGCGATGATGATCGACCTCCGCTTGTTGTACTTGCTCAACGTCTCCTCTACCATCCGCTTCTTTGCCGTCACTTCATCAACAATAGAGGATGAAACCTTGCTCCCTTCCTCCGGCCCCTTGTCCTCCTCCGCCACCACCAGGTGCCTCAACAGCCAAGTCGCCGATAGCTGAGACTGTCCGGTGATCGCCATCTTCCCGAAGAGAGAACCGGCGAAAGCAAGGCAAGGCTTCAAGGCTACGAGCGAGTCCTCGTCCTCTTCGCCGACTTGAATTGGGGTTTCTTCGAGGAAACGGAGACAGGCTGTTAGGAGGAAAGGAAAGTATTCCTTGGGGTGGAAGAACTTGGGGACCTTTCCGTCGAGTTTATTGCCGATGCGATCCGGCAGAGACACTAGCACCTGAGCATCGTCAAGGCGTGAGGCACAGACGTCACAGGGTCACCTGCTCAGCATCCTCCTCGTTCTCCCCGGCAGCACTCTGGTCCATCAAGTCTCGCATGAAGTTTGTGATCCCCCCCGAGGAGAACCATGTTTGAATGAGGTTGCAGTGGTAGCTTCCTCGTATTTGTCAGATCTCCTCAGCTCGTTCTTGTCTCAACTCACTTGATAGTAAACGAGTTCCCACTCTGCTTCAGCGCGTTGTTGAGGCCCAGAAGGGAGGGACCGGCACCCTCGATGAACCTGCAGCAGCGGGTGACCAGACAAGCTCGTTACTGCACCAAGGATATCATCACTTGCTGATGAAGAATACATCGTAACACTTGCTCCGCTCCTCCTCGCTCAGCAGTGAGAGGTAGTTCTCTCCGATCTACAAGGCGATCATCCCCCAGAGGGTTGGGACAAGGCAAACCTTGCTAGAGAGCTTGACGATGAAGGGGATGTAGCGTCTGAGACAGAAGAACTCTCTCCTGCGTTCCTCGTCCTCTGCTCGATCCATCAGGCAAGGAAGCAAGATGACAACTCTCACTGTCTGACACCAGCCCAGCCAACTTGCTGAGACTCTCCAGCTCCTGTACCAGGGTCGAGAGGGAGGAGGAGGCGGAGGAAGCCGGTACTAACAAGGAGGGAGAAGGAGATGATGACGACGAAAAGGAGGAGGAGACAGAAGCATGGCGAACGATGCGGTCGATTGCCGACGCATGTATCGCTGCCGCCATTGCGACTGCTGAGAAAAGGCAGCAAAAAATCCCTAAGGCACCAATTAGACTGAGACTAGGGCAGAAATTTTGCTCGCTCAGCAAGGTAGGCCTTTTGGTGGTCATAGACAAGGGGGGTGGGTGGGACGGTACAATTAGTTAGTAGGGGTGGAGGGAAATTAGTATGAAAAGGAGGGGTCT